AAAAAAAAATGGAGTTTGAACTGGGCGTGGTGACTCATGCCTGAAATCTCAGCACTTTGGAAGGCAGAGGCAAGAGGATTGCTGAATTCAGGGGTTCAAGACCAGCCCGGGCAATTTGACGAGACCTTGTCTCTACAATAAATCAAAAAATTAGCTGAACGGGTGGCGTGTGCCTGTGGTTCCAGCTTCTTAGAAGGCTGAGGCAGAAGGATCGCCTGAGCCCAGCAGGTTGAGACTACAGTAGCCCTGAGCATGCCACTTTACTCCAGCCTGGGTGAAAGTGAGACTTCAACTCAAAAAAAAAAAGAAAATGGAATTTGAATCAAATATTTATAAAATCACAGAAGAACCTCTTAGAATTTCACAGATCCCAGTTTGAAAATTACTGCAATTGAATACTTTTCCTACTATACTATCCCACTTCTAATGTGACATTATGTCATATCCTGCATTAGCCTCATTTTCCTCACCTGCAAAACAAGGAGGTTATAGCTCACCTGTTTGGGTCTCAGACTTTTTGAGAATGTGTTGGAAGCTGCAGGGCTTTGTCTAAAAATTGCACAGAGGGGTGTGCATACACAAATTTGTATACTTTAGGAGGTATGCTGACCCCACTACCATGCCTACCCAAAGCCTCAAGAACCACTGGACTAGACAACCCTAAGATCCCTTCTAACTTCAAAGCTATATGGTTATCTAAAGCGTTTTTACTCTCTGGGAACTAAGGAAAAAGCAAAGGGAACCACGGTTGAGTGCTAAGCACTGTGCAAGGTACTTTACACACCTTCTTTCATTTTCATTCATTATCCCATTTGGCTCTGTTGACCAGGCCACAGAGAAAATCCATGGGTTCTTTGGGGTTATTAATGATGGTCTCTTACTGTAATACTGATAATATCAGGTCTACAACAGATCCAGGCTCAGATCAGGCTAGAATTTGCCTAAAGGAGTCGTACTTGCCAACAGGATGAGGCCTTTTCAATCCACCTGTAGACAGAAGAGTTTGGTGAGAAAGGAAATGACAACTGAGGCGTTGGCCAGACACAGTGGCTCAAGCATGTAATCCCAGCACTTTGAGAGGCTGAAGCGAGAGGATTCCCTGAGCCCAGGGGTTCAAGACCACCCGGGGCAACTTGGTGAGACCTCATCTCTACAATAAAAAAAAGAAAAATTAGCCGGGCGTGGTGGCATGTGTCTAGTTCCAGCTACTTGGAAGGCTGAGGCGGAAGGATCACCTAAGCCCAGCAGGTTGCGGCTGCGATGGCTGTGAGAGTGCCACTGCACTGCAATCTGGGTGACAGAGTGAAACTCTGACAAAAGAAAAGAAAAGAAAAGAAAAAAAAGAAAACCGAGGAGTCGTACTTGCTAACAGGATGAGACCTTTTCAATCTACTTTTAGACAGAAGAGTTTGGTGAGAAAGGAAATGGAAACCATTACTAAAACTGAGGTTTTAGAAAACAGAAACTTAGTAACCATAATGTAAGCTGCAAATCTTTTCTAAAAGATTCTGGGAAAAAATAACTGAAAATTGAGTCCTTTGAAAATTACTAGCAGGGCAGGTTGGCTCACGCCTGTGACCTCAGCACTTTGGGAGGCAGCGGCAAGAGGATTGCCTGAGCCAGGGGTTTGAGACCAACCTGGGCAACATGGCGAGACCTCGTCTCTACAGTAAATCAAAAAATTAGCCAGGTGTTGTGGCACGTGCCTGTAGTTCCAGCTACTTGGAAGGCTGAGGTGGAAGGATGGCCTGAACCCAGCAGGTTGAGGCTGTGGTGGATGTGAGTGTGCTCCTGCATTCCAGCCTGGGACAACTCAAAAAAAGAAAGAAAATTACTAGATGCTACAACACTGTAAGGAACCATTGCTATTAGTAATTTTTGTTTTCAGCATCTGTCCCCTAAAAGTGCCTCCCCAGCATCCATTGATTGCCTCCCTCCTTCCTAGGAGTCATGACTTGGTTAGATACCTCCTCCTCAGAGCTATAACCTCAGGAGAAGAGTAATTCACCCCAAGCTGCTAATTGGCTTGTGGATAATTCCATCTTCCTTGCCCATGATTCCATCAGGTATGGTCATGTGACCCAATATGGGCTCTTGAGAACTGAGGAAAAGTTTTCTGTGTACTTGGGAGCAGTTCCTCCTCTCTTTTCAGAAAACATTTCCATAAATAGTCCTTTCTGTTTTCCTCTGGACACTACCACTAACAGGTGTGGAGGTGGAATACCTGTAGGTATTTCTATGTAATTTCTATGTATTTCTTTTTTTTTTTTTTCTGAGTAAGAGTCTTACTCTGTTGCCCAGGCCACTGCACCTGGACTCAGGTGATCCTTCCAAGTAGCTGGAACTACAAGTGTGTGATGACGCGGCTTATTTTTTGATTTACAGTAGAGACGAGGTCTCCCCAAGTTGCCCAGGCTGGTCTTGAATCACTGGGCTCAGGCAATCCTCTCACTTCTACCTCCCAAAGTGCTGGGATTATAGGCATGAGCCACTGTGCCTGGCACTTCAGTGACTATGGGGCAGGGGGGAGTCTTTCAATATGTTTGCCCATTTCATGATGGGTGATTTACAAGTGCAGCTGCCCACACTGCACTCAGTGTTCAGTTTTTGACCAAAAACAGCATGACCTTTGTGCCCGACTTGTTAGAGTCCAAGTAACGCTCGGCTGCTAACCCTCAACACCCATAAATCGAAAGGCAGGAAATAGAACTCAAAAGAGGTTTATTTCTGAATTTGAATCCAGCGAGCGGAACCAGGTTTCTAGTTTTTTTAGAATGATTCTGCTCACCCTTCAAGTTTTACAGTCCACTTGTATACATTTAGGGTTTTAACCTATACATTGACTATGTGACTAGCAGAACATTGTATAGAACTTAAGTTACATTTTGTCAATAATGACATTTATGATTCATATTTCCTTGCACTGGTTACCAGAGGAATCTCCCAGTTTATCAGTAACACCAGGCAGGCGAAGGTGTTAACCAAGCTTGTCATAGAGTAAAGGCCTTCTATTAACTCTCAGGAATGTGGGTAACACTTGCCATGCCCTTCCCTAGGGGTTGTGGCAATATGGACAGACAATAGCAGGTCTCCATATTACACCCTCCAGTTTCCCTGATGAAAAAAGTTCTCAAATGGAAACATTTTTGCTGATGTGTTAGG